TTATATATGTTTATTATATTTAGTTTACTTTCATTGATTGATTTTTTATTCCTAAAATTACAATTGATACGCTTATTTTATTTTGATTTTTTAAGATTTATTTATTTACGCATACAAGACTTGGGATACAGGCCAGAGATGCAAGAGGTGAGAGTTGAACAGAACAGGTAGATTGACTGAATACTGCTGAAAGGAGCAGTGGGCAGGTCCGGAGCCCTCTGCCTTGCTATGTGGGTCAAGACCCTGGCAGCGGGTCGAACTTGTGCTGCGGTGGCCTCAAATAGCTTAATAGTGCTTTAACCAGTTGTGCCACAATGGAGGGCCCTTTTAAAGATTTATTTTTGCGTACAACTGAGTGATATGCTAGAGGTGTAACAAGGAGAGGATTCACTAGAGATGGAATGGGGAACAGAATAGGCTGATCTACTTAAATAAACAGCTAAGCAGAGTAGCAGGCAAAATAGGTTAGCTCCCTGTCCTAGCAACAAACTCAGTCTTGTAATGGTGGGCCTCCGTGCAGTTGCACTGAGACTTAACTCCTAGGCTACCAGGGAGTACCGCCCCCAAAAGTAAACATTTTATTTGAAAACTATCTTGTCCTTTCTAGAATGTTTTTCTTCTCTCATATATATTCTCCCATATCTCATTTATAATAATATTTTAAACATCATTTCACACAATGAATTTAGTAATTCTTGCATGTCTTTTGCTGAGGATGTACCCTTGCAGAGAAGTCTGAAGTCTAAATATGCAAGATATCAATCCAGGAATATGTTTTTGTTATATTCTCTCTGTGGAGTATTTTTGTCTTTGTCAGTAGTATAAATTGAAACCCAAATCTGTGTAAGAGATTTCAGGTACTTTTAACCTCTTATCCTTGAAATCCTAAATACCTTGGCTAAAAGACAAATGTCACTCATTTGTTTCACTCATTTCTACCTGTTCCTTCAATTTTGACAAGTAGAGATAACTTAAGTAAATTTATTTTTTCTATTGCAAAGATAATTTTCTTCATTTTATCCAACTTTTGCAGAAATCTTTTGTTATGAATTTGTGTTATTGGTTTCTAGAATGTGATGTACCTTTTTGACCAATGGACTTACTCAAATTTTAACTTTAACTTCAGTAAAATAAATATGTTCTCACACTAATTTTGAATTAAATATTTTTTATTTTTAAAATAATAAAGTATTCGACCAAGTGTTCTACCATAATTTTATAAATTGTGGGCTTTAGACTCAGTGCATATTTATGGAATATACATAGTGACTCACTTGAGTCACACCAATTCTCTTTCACTCCTGTTTACTATCCCTATTTCAATTCATCTTCTGCCATTTCACTTCTGTCCTTGATTCACTCATGGCTGATGTGATAATGAGGGTTAGCGTTTTGGTATAAAGAGAAGAAAGTTCTAAAAGAAATATTGTCAAATTAGAAAAATAATGATAAATTTTATTTATATGTGTGTTAGATATGTATATGTTTATATGCATGTTTTTGTCCAATATATATGCATATGCATATTATGTGTACATACTATATATTATTGAAATACTATATATTATTGAAACGCATAAGAATTTCATTGTTGAAATAATTTTCTGGGCCAGAATGGGTACCTATTTGCATTTGTTTTCATAATTATTTCTATAATTGGTCTTACAAGTAAATACTGAAATAGCTAGCTTATTTATACTTACCACCTGCCTAGTAAAGATATACAGAGAAGGCAGTAATACATATTTAGTCTTCACTTTATTTTCTCTAACATAATATGATCACAATATTGAAATGATGTACAACTTAGTATTCTGTTCTGGCATTCAAACTCCAGCATTCTTTTGTAGAAAAGACACCCTTTTAAGAATTAAATACTGAAATATAGGGAGGTGTTTGGCAAATTTTAAATGTTATTTGAGTAAATTTACATATGAAAAGTACTCAGAATTTTTTCCAGGAAATGTTTGTGGTCATAGGTATTATCCATAATCATTTGACTTGGGCTGGCTATATTTCCATTCTCATGCCAACTTCTCTAGTTTAAATAAAAGCTCCAAAGTTTTCAACAGGGTTTTGTTTCTTATTTCTCAAATGGTTATTCATTTAGTGACTTACCTCCAAAAGGATTTACATATTTTGTGGGTGCCATTCTCAGGGGCTCATCAAAATGCAGGGGAAAAGAGAGAATAGTTAAAATATTTTGCAAAAAAAAAAAAAGAAAGAAAGAAAGAAAAAAAAGAAATACAAAAAGTTTGGTTTCATAAATGTAGTGAATTAGGTTGGAATGTTATAAATTATGGATATTGTAATTATTTTGTGTTACTAGACACCAAGGATTGATTGGGTCTGTCCTCTGACCCTTCAAAATATATGATAGAAAATCTCCATTTAAATGTCCCTAAAATAGTTACTGGTTAAAAGATCCCCTACATCATGATTCTCTCTACTGAGGTCTTGTTAGCTAAATTCCAGTTGCCTTTTTTGAGTAGCATAGAAGTCTACCAATGGATCATTGTTCACAGGAAACCTTAGTTCTGTTAAGTGCTTATTCTAGCTACATTGGCATTGCCTCTGGCAGAGATGGGCAAAGCAATAATAACTTGGAAGGTGCTTCCCTCTGTCATTTTTCTATTTCCTTATCTGCCACTGCAAACCTGATCAAATCAGTGTTCATCATCCACCATCTCTTTTCTAAAGAGAGAGAAAATGGTGAACCAAAATTTCATTTAAAAAGCAAAGTATCAATAATATAATCATAGTAATAATTATAGCAAACATTCAATAAAGTGTTTTTGCAAATAATTCTTACATAATTGTACTATTTTTTATTGAGGTAGCATTGGTTTTATAGCATTTGACTTGAGGTAGAAGTGCATATCTCTTTAGATATATGCTACACACCAAAGCCACTATCAAAGCATAACACTGCACCATAGTCAATTGAAACTCCACTGACACCTTCCCCATCTGGTCCCCTCAATTTTGCAATTACAATTCCAGGATTATTTTTTCCTTAGTTTAAAACATTTGGGGTACTCTGATCTTGCCTAAAAGTGTTCACCTGGTTGTAAACTCAAACTACAACAAATGCAACAAATGTTACATTCCTAAATATTACTCAAACCTAAGTGTTTCCTTGACTCACTGTTTTCCTTTTTATTTCGTTTAAGTCTCATTTTTCTATTTATGTGTTAGACCTTATTATACTATGAGAACAATAGGTTATTGGAATGAAGAGCATAACATAGCATCTAAGAATCTAAAGATTGACATACCATATTCCAGGCTTAGATATAAAGAATCTAATAAAGTTCTCTTTATTTAATTTCTTTGGATTATGGGTCCAGATGGAAAAGGAAAGGTGAGATATTGGGAGTGTGTAATACTTACACTATACGGAGCACCTGGCTTCACAGGCAGTACCTGATTGTGATATAATTAACTTGGACAGGGTTACAATATTATCAACAAAGCAGTGTTACTTTGTTCTCTATAAGAAGATGGTTCCCTTTTTAAGACTGTGGTACTCATTTCAACCTTGCTACTGTATTGATTCTGTTAATGGTTCAAAGCAAATCTTCACTATTTCTCAAACACTTCAAACGTATGCTATGCTAGTAGCGGACCAGTAAATATTCTCATCTTTCATATAAAATTAAAGCCTGAATAAGTATTTATTTTTTAATAAAAAAGAAAATATATTTAATTATGGTACAAATAGTCTTAATTTGCCTATAGACCAATCTGTAATAAAGGACATTTTCTTCAACTTCAAGCCCCTTAATTTATGTTATATGAGATTAAAACATTCATTCAAAATGGATATTACTATTCCTTTAAAATTCAAGTTTTACCTACAGTGAAAGTATACATGTCTCTAAAAGGAAAGTAAATAAACATAATGAAGGTTTACAAAACATAGTGTCTATATATTAATTTCATTTTCAACACTAATTTTTTTCACTTTATTTTTTACTTTATTTTTAATGGAGGTCATATTTGAATTACCTCTTTCAGGGATATCCAAAATAATGTGCATACCACCAAATTACCTGTAGTCCATCACTGTAATCCTCATGATTCAGTCCTTTGTTCTTAACCCTTAAATATGTTAAAGTTAGTTAAGGTAACATCTACAGGGCATCCATAGAGGCATAGCAAGAAATCATTTTGGTAAATAAATATGAACATGGCCAAGACATAAACACACACACACACACACACACACATAGCACAGGTTAAAATCAATAGTAGAATTATAAAATGTTTTGAGAAGATGTAGAAAGAGAAAATTAATTCCTTCTTTGGTTATCAAAACAAGTGTTAATGAGATATTGATTTAGTTGATCCTAAAAAATGGGTAGAGAACATCAAGGCAGAGAGAAAAGGATGAACCAAATTTTTAAGAATGACAATATAAACTTAAGAAATTATGTTCATGTGGGATAAGGAAAATAATTGAGTATAAACTTGAATAGTAGAATGATGATGCATCAGAAAACTATGGGAGAAAATCTTAGAAAGGGAGAATAGTAGCACTGACTTTAGTCACTGACACTATGCTAAGTACTTTATCTTGTGTAGACAAGAGACAATTTTTAACTTAGCAGGGTATTTCATGTGGCTAAGTAGCAAAGTAACTTGTATGTATTAGAAAAGTATTTCATGATTGTGTTTTTGCCAGGACTAAGATTGCATTATACAGAAAACTGTTAACAGAAAACTATTCCTTCTTACTTTGTAAATGCACACACAAATACACACACATACACATGTATACACACACACACACACATATATATGGAGAGAGAGAGATAAAGAGAATTATCTAATTTTTACCTAAAATGGTGGATATCAAACACTTTCTTCTTAAGGAAAGTCTTGCTTGTTTAATTTTGTTTCTATAGATAACAATCACTGTATGTATTTGAAGACAATTTAGAAAATTTTGGTAGTTTCTGTGATTATAGTATCAAATTGCATTTTTGTTTTTGCAGATAATGGTGCCTGCCAACTAAATGAATAACTGTGGTGAGTTTTTCTTTTCTCAAATCTACATAGAATATTTTTCTTTCAATATTCAAAAGAATTTATGGTTCCCATAAAATCTATAAAAACATGAGAAAACTTAGAAAACATGGATGTCAGGGAAGCTGAATCCCCCCATTGTTTTCTTCTAAACTGAATCAACACATGAATTCAATGTCTGCATGAGTCTGGGAGCACCACTGTTTTCCATTTTATGGGTACCAGGTGCTGCCCAGGGGTGACCCTGAGGAAGCACCTAAATGTCCATGCTTCCAATGGGCAGTAAAATGCCTTTTTAATATATATATATATATATATATATATATATATATATATATATATTTAATTGATGAGAAATCACATATAAGTCGGTAAGAAATAGCAGGAGTTTCTCTCTTTTCTCCCCTTATTTCAAGGAGGTGTTAATGTTCGTGGCCTGGCTGTGCACACAGGCTTATTTTCATTTTTCCCATTTCAGGGCTGATTAAATTTTATTTTGCTTTCATTTAATCATCCTATTGGGAACAGAAATTGAGAGAATTTTCTTTCCTATCGTTGTTGTGTATATGTTATTGCTCCTATTGAGACTCCTGTTGGGTAATAATGTGTGTGAGAAATGAAAACATGGTATTATGTTGTGAAAAATGACAATAATGGTGATAAAATATGTGTGATGATATGCCAGGGAAGGAAAGAAAAGAGAGGGAGAGATTGCTTTTTCTGCATTGCATTAGGTGTTTTAAAAAGTTTGGTTGTCTGCTTTGCCAATTAAGAGTTTGTTTTTCAACCAAATTATGTCAGTGGAGATGTTTGCTTTTTACATTTGCTTAACTTATTCAAACTCTCAATACAGTGTCAAAAAGAACTAGAAAGTAATATATTGTTGTTATTTACTGTTTTAGGAGTTATAATAACATTTTATAGTATTTTTACTAATGGTAAAACATCTAGCACTTATTGACACAAATGATTATTTCTGTTTTCCACATTACTTTTACAAAAAGAAAAAGAAAAAGGAATGGATATACCCTAATTGACTTGGAATATTATGACTGTTCATTGAAAACTGAGATGAGTGGGTGTAATCTGTATCAATCTAATTAATCTCTGAAAAAGTGAAGCCTTTTTCTCTGTCTTGAAAGACAAAACCTGACGTATTTGGGTGCTCTTTATAATACTGAGAAACTGATGTTTTAATGTGTTTTCTTTGCTGGACTTAAAAGGAGAGGCTTTGTATCACAGTGTTACCTGGTTTACTTCCATGTGAGTTTATTAGTAGAGCAGACTGTGAGAAAGGCTCACTTTTTAAAAAAAATAATATAATAGTTTATTTTTACATCATTTTGTGCCTTTTCCATCTCAGTTGTAATACCCATGGGCTTCCCATTACCAGATCACCCATGTGCCATCATCATAGTCCAGTGCATTTCCCTCCCCCCACTGTTTTTGATCCCATTCCCCACTCCACCCCATAAAATGTCTCTGGTATATAGCTGTTCATTATTATTATTATTATTTTCTCAACTGGTCCGTTGTATTCCTGCTATAAGTGAACCCATCTGGTATTTTTCCTTTTCTTTCTGGCTTATTTTACTAAGCATGATATTTTCCAGGTCCATCCATGTTGCTGCAAAAGGCATGCATTTATATTTTTGGTTGCTGAGTAATATTCCATTGTGTATATGTACCATATCTTTTTAATCCAGTCATCCACTTTTGGACATTTGGGTTGTTTCCATGTCTTTCCAATTGCAAATAAAGCAGCAATAAACATGCAAGTATCTCTTTGAATCAGTATTTTTGTGTCTGTTGGGTAGATACCTAGAAGTAGGATTGTTGGGTCATATAGAAGCTCATTCTTTAGCAGTTTGAGGAACCTCCAAACTAGTGGTTGTACTTGTTTGCATTCCTACCAGCAGTACAGGAGAGTTCCTTTTTCTCCACATCCTCACCAACATTTGTTGTTGCTAGTTGTTTTAAGATGTGCCATTCTCACTGGTGTGAGGTGGTATCTCATTGTAATTTTAATTTGCACCTCCCTTATTACAAGTGATGTTGAACATTTTTTCATATATTTGTTGGTCATCTGCATTTCCCCTTTGGAGAAGTGTCTTTTTAGCTCTTCTGCCCATTTTTTGATGTGGTTGTTTATTTTTGTTGAGTTTCATCAGTTCTATGTATATCTTTGTAATCAATCCTTTATCACTAGTTTTGTGTGAGAAAATTTTTTTCACAATCAGTGGGATGTCTGTTTGTTTTTTGTAAGCTCTTTAGCTTGATGTAGTCCCATCTATTTATCCAAGGATCACTTTTGTCCTGTGTGTTCAACTGCAATCAAGAAAACATTCTGAAAGAGGGTCGTTGTATAACAGCCTACACTTACCCATAAGCTAGACTTCCTTGTAAAATCAGAGATGGCCTGACTTGGAGGTGGTTGGGATGAAAATAACATGAAGTTTGATGGTATGGGGAGTGTTTATAATGAGTTTGCATAAGAAAGAGGAATGGGTAAATCTAAGCCTTGTGATATTGCAAGTGGTTAGGACAAAACAAATGGTAGAAACAAAAATAATAATGATGAATATTGCAATATATTTTACTAGCATTTCTTGTACTTTCATGTATCTGTATATCACATGGACTGTGATTTATAGATTACAGTCTATAAATCATTGTATATGCTTTTATGTTATATGTTAAAATGTGGATTGTAATCCATTAGGTATGCAGGAAATTTAGGGGCCAGGAGCTCTGTGTTCCCAGATGATGACAAAGCTTGTTGGTCCATGGACCACAGTGTAGCAAGTTATTAGTAGCATTTGCTTCCGTTTAGAATTTCAATGTAGATATTATTTTCAAACATTAGATTTAACTTAGATTTTTAGTGTTTTTATCCCACTATATTGTGCTTAATATTGAGATTAGAGCATAAAAAACCCGTATTTATTTCATCTACACATGGAAAGACTGGTCTATTTTCCCAAGGTCTGTTTTCCCCTCAGCTAATTAATCACTGGGGTAAAGCATGATGGATCAAAGATTTTGGGTCTAATACTTATAAATCAAATGCCATGTAAGATTTAACAAAAACAAATGTTTTGTTTTATATTACAATTCTATTCAAAGGTAAACATCATCACCTTTCAATTGTCAAATTATAAGAAAGCAACAATGGTTATAGGGGCTCGAAAATGCTAACCATAATATAAGTAGATGGTATGGCCATCATTATTCTTGAAAATACTTGACTTGTAGTACAAATAAGCAGTTTAATGCTTTTGGTTTTCTGCAATGCTCCTTTTGACAACTGTATAGGCTAATTGTTAGGTTATGCAGGTTCCAAAGAGATTAGCAAGAAAGTTGGATAGCAGTAAGACTGTACAGGGTGGGTCAGTAATGGTGCAGAGAGAAGTCAACAGGCTCTTGATCGGTGATGTAAAGGTTTTTGAAACAACTTCATGTCAGAATCAGCTGCTGAGCTGAGAAAATATAGTAAGACTTTAGTGTCACCCAGGCTGATGTCAGGGTATCTCAAGGTAGAGACTTACAACCAAATGTTCTGGTTCCCTGATTATTCCATGGGGAACTGGATTTGAATTCTCCTACTTGAGGAACTGAGATTTGCATTTGTAACAATGCCCCAGGAATGTAGATAAACCTCTGCCTCTGGAAGCACACTTTTAAAAGCAAGGGCCCCAAGAAGTTGCTCTTAATATTCTGGGGAGATTAACATTATCCCAGGGCAGTTACCTGTTCATCCAAGGATGAGAAGGGATGGAGATGAGAGGTAAAAAGAGTGAATAGATTCCCAAGTGACGCAAGGCCTGGACTCTGGCTTGAATATTCAATTTCTCACCTGATCTCATTCAAAGAGCAATAAAAAAATCCCTGTAATCCAAAATATCTCATCACATGTGTCATGTGATATCTGAAATTGTATGATTAAAAATCATTGTTTTCCAGATTTGACTGTACAGATATTATTTTTTGGTACAATCGTTAAAAATACAGAAAATAGAGAGGGGGATGGAGTGGGTAGGAATATCAAATCTGGTAATCATCCCATATGATTCTAATCAAGAATAGATTTTGGTTGGTTTAGATCAAACCCTCTTCCTGGCCCTCTTTCTTAAAGTTAATATATGCTCACACACACATATATACTGTTCTATTTTAGCAAGTTTCAATAAAACAAATTAATAATGACAGCTATGATTTTTTTGGTACTTAATATTGATTGTATACTGTTCTACATGTTTTATATGCACTAGAATGTTCCTAAATAATATTTAATATTAACCTCTTTATATAAAAGGGAATTAGAACAAAGAAACATTGAACCAGTCAAACTCACATAGCTGGTAAGTGGTAAAACTGAGATATGAAATCAGGCTTTCTGACTCCTTGCTCTGCTAACTTCTAATCAACTGTCAAATTAATTTATTCAGTAAATATTTCTAGAATAACGTGCATACACACACTGTAGGTAATAGGAACAAAGAGGTAAGCACAGCTATCTGTGCCTGCATGAAGACTGCTTTCTCATGAGAGACATCAGTTCTTGTTTTAAAAGATACTTTTTTTTTCTTTAAAGATTTATTTATATATGCATACAGAACTGGGATATAGGCCAGAGGTACAGGGATGGTAAGAGGAATCACCATAGTTAGAGTGGGGAGTAGAATAGACAGATCCACAAAGTACACTGCTGAGGGGTGCAGCAGGCAATACAGGAGAGGTCTGCCACACCTTGTGGGTCACTGCTGGGGAGGGACTCCAACTTGCACCTAAGCTGCTGTGGCCAGCTTTGCAGTGCTGCGCTTTAACCCACTGCACCACCAGGGAGGACCTCAGTCACATTTTTTAAAAGACCTTAGGATTCATGGCAGAAAACACAGGATGCATATATCATTCAATTTACTTTCTGACATATTTTAGCAAATTTCTTTAGCTCTTTAGCAATCTAACAAAATATTGTAAAGCGAAACCTAAATGAGTTGTTT